ACTGCACTCCAGCCTGGGCGACAGAGCGAGACTCCGTCTCAAAAAAAAAAAAAAAAAAAAGAAATTTGTCAATGTTTGAAATGTTGGCTCATTTAAAACAAAATGTGACATCTGTAGGCTATGACTATGCAAACTCTCTGAACTCTCTCATGGCAACCTCACCAGTGTTCATTAACTACCTGTTGACAACGGTACATTGACAGTGCCACCCATCAGGTCTCTTCTGAGCCCCAAAGCCTTATGTACAGATTTAATATCTTCAGGGCCAGGTGCGGTGGCTCATGCCTGTAATCCCAGCACTTTGGGAGGCCGAGGTGGGTGGATCACCTGAGGTCAGGAGTTCGAGACCCGCCTGGCTAACATGGTAAAACCACGTCTCTACTAAAAATATGAAAATTAGCCAGCTGTTGGTAGTACACGTCTGTAATCCCAGCTACTTGGGAGGCTGAGGCATGAGAATCACTTGAACCTGGGAGGCAGAGGTTGCAGTGAGCCAAGATCGCACCACTGCATTCCAGCCTGGGCGACAGAGCAAGACTCCGTCTCAAAAAAAAGGTCTTTGAGTGGATGCCTCGAACTTAAAATGTCCCAAAGGGAATTCTTGATTCTCCCACCCCCAACATTCAAATCTGTTCTTCCTTCAGTCTCCCTCCTTTCAGGAAATGACACCATCATCCACCATCTGCCACTGCTGGAAACCTGTGAGCCAACCCCAGTTCTCCCTCTTAACCTTCTCCCTCCAGGCCCACCTCCAGTGGCTGTGCAGGTGAGTGCTACCTAAGGGAGCCTGGCTAGCCAGGAGCCTAAAACCAGCCTCTAACCACTTGTCAAGCTCCAGAGCAGAGCTGAATCTGCCTGGAGGAAAAGGCAGTTTACCTAAGAGGCCATTTTGACTTCTCAGAGGCCAGCTCCCTTTCCTTCTCTCCCCAGTCTCCTCCCAGTTCATCATCGTCAAGTCTTCTGGTATTTTCTCCATAGTTCTTGTATCTATCCTCTTCCCACCATCTCTACTGCAAGGGTAAGCCACTAAACCACCCTTTTTTTTTTTTTTTTTGAGATGGAGTTTCGCTTTTAATGCCCAGACTGGAGTGCAATGGCTCACTACAACCTCTGCCTCCTGGGCTCAAGCGATTCTCCTCTTGGCCTCAAGCGATTCTCCTGTCTCAGCCTCCCGAGTAACTGGGATTACAAGCCACCACGCCCAGCTACTTTTTTTGTATTTTTAGTAGAAATGGGGTTTCACCATATTGTTCAGGCTGGTCTCGAATTCTTGACCTCAGGTGATCTGCCCACCTCAGTCTCCCAAAATGCTGGGATTACAAGTGTGAGCCACCATGCCCAGTGCCACCCTCATTCCCTCATTTTTTGCTTGGACGACTGACATTGCTTTCCAACTGTCTCATTGCTTCTATGTTCACACACCTCTTCAGTCATTCCCCACCTATTCATTGGGGCAAGTGATTTTTTTTTTTTTTTTTTTGAGGCGGAGTCTTGCTCGGTCACCCAGGCTGGAGAGCAGTGGCATGATCTCGGCTCACTGCAACCTCCGCCTCCCAGGTCAAGCCTCCGGAGTAGCTGGGATTACAGACGTGTGTCAGCATGCCCAGCTAATTTTTGTATTTCTTTTTAGTAGAGATGGGGTTTCATGGTGTTGGCCAGGCTGGTCTCGAACTCCCGACTTCAGGTGATCTGCCTGCCTTGGCCTCCCAAAATGCTGGGATTACAGGCGTGAGCCACCACACCTGGCCACAAGTGATGTTTTAGAAAGGGCAAATAGGCTGAGCGCAGTGTCTCATGCCTGTCATCCCAGCACTTTGGGAGGCCGAGGCGGGCAGATCATGAGGTCAGGAGATCGAGACCACTCCGGCTGACATGGTGAAACCCCGTCTCTACTAAAAATACAAAAAATTAGCCGGGCATAGTGGCACACGCCTGTAGTCCCAACTACTTGGGAGGCTGAGGCAGGAGAATCACTGGAACCCAGGAGGCGGAGGTGACAGTGAGCCGTGATCATGCCACTGCACTCCAGCCTGGGCAATAGAGCGAGACTCAGTCTCAAAAGAAAAAGAAAAAAGTTTCATTTTGGTGAATATTTGGGTAAACAGTTCAAAGTTTCAGTTTTATCAGAACTTTACCCTTCTCCCCCTTGACTTCCCAAGGTGGCCTACAGGATACAGGGGAAGCCTCAGGGCAGCATGGGAGGAGAGATCTGTGTGCAGGATTGTGAGCTGTAGCCTGAGTTTTCACTGGCCTCTGCTGCTATGTCTCTGGTGACTTCCAGTCTCCACTGCCCTGTGAGCATCAGCTGCTGAGGTGGTTGGCTGGCAAGCTCATGACCTGTTGCTTTAGCATCTTCACAGAGTTTGATGTCTCATCTTTCATCCCCACTCTTCCATCCCTGCTCTTCTCACCAGCTGACTTAGGAGTGCTTCAGCTCCACTGGTATCTTCAGTACTGCCCATCCTTGGGGTCTTAGCTACATTCTGTGGCCATTCCCTGGCCATCAGCCTACCACAAGGCCTTTGCTTTAGGAAACCTGGCCCTTGGCACAGTGCCTATTGGTCCGTAACCATGCTACTTTTTTTTTTTTTTTTTTTTTTGAGACGGAGTCTTGCTCTGTCGCCCAGGCTGGAGTGCAGTGGCCAGATCTCAGCTCACTGCAAGCTCCGCCCCCCGGGTTTACGCCATTCTCCTGCCTCAGCCTCCCGAGTAGCTGGGACTACAGGTGCCCGCCACCTCGCCCGGCCTAGTTTTTTTTTTTGTATTTTTTAGTAGAGACGGGGTTTCACCGTGTTAGCCAGAATGGTCTCGATCTCCCGACCTCATGATCCGCCCGTCTCCGCCTCCCAAAGTGCTGGGATTACAGGCTTGAGCCACTGCGCCCGGCAACCATGCTACTTTCTGCATGCCAGGCAGGGAGCAACAAAAGAACTCTGGAATTCTGACATACCTACTGTGCAAACTGCAGTGCCCCAGCAGCACTATTGCAGACTCCTCCCAATGCCATGGCCTGCTCCTGAGCCCTGCTGTGTGAGCCTTCTCAGAGAACTGGACAGCCTTCCAAGCTAGACCAGGGGAGGTCAACTTCTAGCTTCCTCGGCACTTACCTGGGTATTTCTATGCTTCCCACCTGAGTGTTAAACCCCAAGAGTAGGGGAACACCAACACACTCATCCTGATCTCTGACCTCACCCCCTTCTCCATGAAATTTATGTTTATCTCCCCAGTTCCTATTATCTCTTGAGTCTTAGCTTAAGGTTCAAGGAAGCCTTTCTTAATTGTTTTTTGTTTGTTTGTTTGTTTGTTTGTTTTGAGACGGAGTCTTGCTCTGTCGCCCAGGCTGGAGTGCAGTGGCCAGATCTCAGCTCACTGCAAGCTCCGCCCCCCGGGTTTACGCCATTCTCCTGCCTCAGCCTCCCGAATAGCTGGGACTACAGGCGCCCACCACCTCGCCCGGCTAATTTTTGTATTTTTTAGTAGAGACGGGGTTTCACCATGTTAGCCAGGATGGTCTTGATCTCCTGACCTCGCGATCCGCCCGTCTCGGCCTCCCAACGATCCGCCCGTCTCGGCCTCCCAAAGTGCTGGGATCACAGGCTTGAGCCACCGTGCCCGGCCCTGTTTGTTTTTGAGATGGAGTTTCACTTTTGTTGCCCATGCTGGAGTGCAATGGTTCACTGCAACCTCCACCTCCCGAGTTGTGATTCTCCTGCCTCAGCTTCCCAAGTAGTTAGGATTACAGGCATGCGCAACCATGCCCGGCTAATTTTTGTATTTTTAGTAGAGATGGCGTTTCACCATGTTGGCCAGGTTGGTCTTGAACTGCTGACCTTAGGTGATCTGCCCGCCTCAGCCTTCCAAAGTGCTGGGATTACAGGCGTGAGCCACCACGCCCATCCAGGAGGATCTCTCGAGCCTGGAAGTGTGAGACTAGCTGTGGTGATAGTGAGACCTGTCTTAAAAAAAAAAAAAAAAAAAAAAAAAAAATTAGTCTGGGGGTGGTGGCTCATGCCTGTAATCCCAGCACTTTGGGAGGCTGAGGAGGGTGGATCACCTGAGGTCAGGAGTTTGAGAGCAGCCTGGCCAACATGGTGAAACCCTCTCTCTACTAAAAATACAAAAATGAGCTGGGCGTGGTGGTGCACGCCTATAATCCCAGCTACTTGGGAGGCTGATGCAGGAGAATCACTTGAACCAGGGAGGCAGAGACTGCAGTGAGCCGAGATTATGCCACTGCACTCCAGCCTGGGCAACAGAGGGAGACTCTCAAAAAAAAAAAAAAGAAAAAAAACACAAAAAACAGAACACCATTTACATGTATTATGTGTAGATAACAACATTAAATACATAAAAATTTGATAACATGTAGGTAAAGTATTAAAAAATCAGCTCCAGTAGTAAATCTTTATACAGTGAGGAGGGATTGAAGGGGAACAGAAGATCCCCGAAGACCAGTTGGGAGGCTATTTATAGTCCTGGGCAGAGAGATGACAGGGTCTTGGGTGGAGGGTGGTAGAGTTAGAACGAAAGAGAATGTTGGCCTCAGGAGATATTTAGATGGAAAACTGGACTTGGATTGTCACTAGTGTGACTGGGATAAGTCTCAAGCCTTCCCTGCCTCAATCTCTTCATCTGTAAAATGGGCTAGCAATAACTACTGCTATTTGTATACCCAGCACTTAGCAGATGGGTTGGGACAAAGATGGCACACACAAAAATCATTGTTACTATTGTAATTAATAGGGAAGCTCATACATGCCGGCAGAATGAATATTCTGTCAAACTTGGGGTTGAAATTCGCCACCTTCTGGGGCAGAAAAGTGATGGACAACCATGCCTTTGCGAGAATCGACGCCCACACTGCCCAGGAAGTGGCCTCGCGGGCCGGGGTCGCAGCCTGGACCAGCCCCGCCCCGCCCCGCCCTCATCCCTGCGAGCTCCGCCCCGAGGCCGCGCGCGCGCGCCGCCGCCACCGCCGCCACCACCGCTGCCGCGCGCGCCCCGACGCGCCCGGCTGCTGACGTGCGGGGCGGAACGGGTCGGGCGGGTTCCACCGATCTGTGTGCTTCCGCGGGCTGCGGGGGTCGCTGGGGCCTCGTGGCTGGCAGCTGCGCGGGGCTTCGCCCGTTCCCTCACCTCGCTCTGCCCTCTCGCGGCGCCCGGCGGGGCCCGCGCTGCAGCTGGAGACCCGGAGAAAGGGTGAGTGTTGGCGGGCGCAGGAAGGGACCGCGCGGGCGCGCGCCCTGCTGTCTGGGGCATTGTTTGGGCGGGGGCGGCGCGGGCACGTGCGAGCCCCTCCCCCATCGGCCGGCTGCGCCGCGGCGGGACCCGGTGAGGCCCCGGGCCCGAGGGGAGGGCAGGGAGGATCCCAGGTGCGGGCCGAGGAGCCGCAGAAGCGGGAGCCTGGAATCGGAACGTGAGTTGGGGGCTTCCTCTTCAGCGGGGCGCTCCGCTGAGGGGATGCGGGTCCCCGAGCCGCAGCGGCCAGAGGTTTCGGAATGTTAAGCTCTTGGCCTTGGAGGCAAGATTTGGCCCCAGGACCAGAAAGTCGTGGGTTTACCGAAAGGATCCTGGAATGCCCCTCCAACCTGTCGCCATCCCCACCGGCCCTCCCGGGATGGAGGGGAGGGGTTAGAGAGGCTTTGGGGTTCCAGGGAGGGGGCCGGGGCCAACGCGCCGGAGCTGCGGGCAGTGCGGGGCGGAGTGGAAGCCTCGGAAAGTGAGGACTCCTGCAGGAAAGGCTGGCTTGGAGGGCTGTGGCCAGACTGCAGAAGACAATGAGGTTCTTCTCCCCATCATGAATGTGATTATGTTAAGAAATGGAAAGCAGAGAAAGAGAAATGCCATCAGCGATCTTATAGGCCTGACACATCATTTTTTTAGTTTGATGTTTGCTAGTATTTTCATCTAAGCCTTCAGCAGTTACAGAGTTGACCCACGTTTTCCATTTCTCGCTCACATGTACAAAATGCGCCATAATATCATATAGTATTCAGCAATATCATTTCCCCTTAATGAGTAGAGAGTATTCAGCGTAGAAAAATTAAAAAATACAAGCAAAGCAAGAGAAAAATGCCCGCAGTTTTACGGTCTAGAGATATTACCCTTGGATGTATATTCCTGTTTGTGTATACTCTTTAAACGATAGGGCAGATGATGCTCTGATTAGGAGTTTAGTTTTTCCGGGAAACCTTTGAAGGTTTTGAGAAGGCGAGTAGCATAATCCGACTGCTATGTAGAGGAAGAGGGCTGGGGAGGAACCTACGAGGTCAGTTACTGTGCTCTTTGCAGTAGCTTAGACTAGGCCCATGGCAGGGAGATGGGGAAGTGTAAACAAATTTTTAAGTGTTTTGAAGGTAGAATGAACAAGACTTGGAAGTGAATTGGTGAGGGAATGGTGGGAGTCTTTGCTTTTTTGATTTTTGTTTTGAGCACCTGAGTGAATGGTGGTGCCGTTTACAGAGATGAAGAATGGAAGAGAGAAATTTGAGGTGGGAAAAATATCGAAATCTATTTTGGATGTATTAAATTTTAGATGCCTGTTAGTTATGAAGTCGGTGTGTTGAGACAGTTGGATGTAGAGGGCTGGAACTCAAGGAAGAGAGAGGCTAGAGCTAGAGATAAAAATCGGAGTGGCTGGGCGCAGTGCTCACACATGTAATCCCAGCACTTTGGGAGGCCGAGGCAGGTCGCTTGAGCCCAGAAGTTCTAGACCAGCCTTGGCTACAAGGCAGGACACCGTCTCTTAAAAAAAAAAAAAAAAAAAAAAAAATTGGAGTGATCAGTACATAGATGACATTCAAAGGTATGGTGCTGTGTGAGATCACTGAGGGAAAGAGTGAAGAAGTGAAAGGGACTCAGACACTCAAATACCTCTAGTTCTGGCAGAGGAAGGAGGTTGAGGAAAGGACACAGGAAACAGCAAGTGAGGTAGGAGAAAAAGCTGGTATCATGGCAGCCAAAAGAGGTATTTCTGGAAGATGTTGAATTGGTCCTTTTATCAGGGCTTCTGAGATGTTCATTAAAGTTGTCAATTGGATTTGGCAACACGGAGGTCATTTAGTTTTGGTCATTGGTCTTCCTGTCCATAGTTCTGGAAGTGGGAGGTGGGAACCAGACTAGAATAGTTTAATGGAATGTGAGGAAATGAAACTAATGAGTGCAAATTAGAAAAAAAGTGCCCCTATTTCCATCTGCGCCAAAACTAAACTGGATCGATGAAAAATGATGTCTTGTGTTTTTTTCATTTATTGATTACTAGTATGTTTGAACATTTTTTTCACATTTATTGGCTATTTGCGAATTTCTTTTCTTGTTCTCTGGCATCTTTTGTTATTTCCTAATTGATTGTCAAAGGTTCTTTAGATATTAAAAATAGGTAGCTTGACATACAGCATTCAGAGCTCTCCCCACATGTTTTTCAGTTTCCAGTGCTTCATGTTCATTCAGCGGATGCATGATAGTTTGCGGTGGATTATTTTTTATTATAAAATCCATAGGAAGAGGAGAACTAACATTTATGTTGTAGATCTCTGAGTGCAGCCCACGTATGATGTACATTGCTCCGTATTTCCTTAGGATAGATTCTCAAATAGTTGGTCCTGTCCTCTTCTCATCAACCATGGATTTTTACTTGAATGTTCATTGCCACGTTCTTGGATTGTTCCGCATCTCCCTGCCTTTGGTCCTGCTCTGCTTTCAGTCTGTTTTCTATCATGATAGAAAGTAGATGGTGGGAGTTGATGCAGTTTTCTCACAGAAAACAAGACTTATGAAGCAGATTTTTTCTTTTTTTTCTTTTTCTTTGTTTTTTTTTTTTTTTGGAGACAGGATCTCAGTCTGTTGCCCAGGCCGGTGATCCCAGCTACTTGGGAGGCTGAGGCAGAGGAATTGCTTGAACCCGTGAGGTGGAGGTTGCAGCGAGTGGAGATCGCGCCACTGCACTCCAGCCTTGATGACAGGGGGAGACTTCGTCTCAAAAAAAAAAAAAAAAAGCGGATACAAAAAGCCACGTGCTGTATGATTCTATTTATACGAAATGTCCAGAAACAGGCAAGTTTATCAACACAAAAAGTAGTTGCCAGAGGTTGAAGGGAGAGGAGAATTGAGAGTGACACTTAAGAGGTAAGCAGTTGCTTTTTGGAGTGATGAAAACATTATGGAAGTAGATAGTGGTGATTGTTGTGCAACTTTGTGAATATATTGAAATCCACTGAATTGCACACTTTTAAGTGGTGTGTGTGTGTGTCTATATATATATATATATATTTTTTTTTTTTGAAATGGAGTCTTGCTCTGTCGCCCAGGCTGGAGTGCGGTGACACTATCTCGACTCACTGCAAGCTCCGCCTCCTGGGTTCACGGCTTTTCCTGCCTCAGCCTCCTGAGTAGCTGGGACTACAGGCACCCACCACCATGCCTGGCTCTTTTTTTTGTTTGTTTTTTTGTTTTTTTTTTTTTTGAGACGGAGTCTGGCTCTGTTGCCCAGGCTGGAGTGCAGTGGCCGGATCTCAGCTCACTGCAAGCCCCGCCTCCCGGGTTCACGCCATTCTCCTGCCTCAGCCTCCCGAGTAGCTGGGAGTACAGGCGCCCGCCACCTCGCCCGGCTAATTTTTTTTGTATTTTAGTAGAGACGGGGTTTCACCATGTTAGCCAGGATGATCTCCATCTCCTGAACTCGTGATCCGCCCGCCTCGGCCTCCCAAAGTGCTGGGATTACAGGCTTGAGCCACCGCGCCCGGCCTTTTTTTTGTATTTTTATTAGCGAGGGGGTTTCACCATGTTAGCCAGGATGATCTCGATCTTCTGACCTCGTGATCTGCCTGCCTTGGCCTCCCAAAGTGCTGGGATTACAGGCTTGAGCCACCGGGCCCGGCTGGTCAATATATATGTTTTTTGAGACAGGGTCTGTCTCTGTTGCCCAGGCTGGAGTGCAGTGATGCAACCATAGGTCATTGCAGCCTTGAACTCCTGGGCTCAAGTGATCCTCCCACCTCAGCCTACCAAGTAGCTGGGACTACAGGTACACACCACCATGCCCAGCTAATTTTTTTCTTTTTATTTTTCAGTAGAGACAAGGTCTCCCTATGTTGTCCAGGCCGGTCTTAAACTCCTGGGTTCAAGCAGTCCTCCTTTGGCCTTCCAAAGTGCTGGGATTACAGACACATGAGCCACCCCACGCCTGGCCTAAAACAGTACGTTTTAAGTTATGTGAATTATATTTCAATTAAAAAAGTGTATCCACACTCTCAAATTAAAACTTGAAAACAAAATACATAACAATCGCCATTAAAAGCACTGTGGGTAAAGTTGAAGTGCCTCCCCACTGCATTCTCCTCACCCTCAGCTTTCCTTACAGCCACTTAACAGGTTCCCCCACAGGTCACTCCTCAGACAAGCAAGATAAACAGCCCTTGCCTAGAACTAGTTCTACCTCTCCATGGCTGCAGTCATCAAAGTTCACATGCCTGAACATCTTACAATTACTTTCCAGTGGGCTCATATTTCACCTCTACCTTCTCCGCTTACTGAAATGCTCTTCATCCTTCAAGAATCAAATTCCAACTCATCCATGAAGTAAACTCCAGCCTTTGAAAGCTTTTTTCCCCCCCTAACTACCGCAGGACGGACGATATGGAAACAGTCTGCTTCAGGCCAGGTGCGGTGGCTCATACCTGTAGTCCCAGCACTTTGGGAGGCCGAGGCGGGCGGATCATCTGAGGTCGAGAGTTCGCGACCAGCCTGGTCAACGTGGTGAAACCCCATCTCTATTAAAAATACAAAAATTAGCTGGGTGTGGTGGTGTGTGCCTGTAATCCCAGCTACTTGGGAGTCTGAGGCTGGAGAATCACTTGAACACGGGAGGCAGAGGTTGCAGTGAGCCAAGATTGTGCCATTGCACTCCAGCCTGGGCAACAGTGAGACTGTGTCTCAAAAAATTAAAAAAAAAAGAATTTACCTTAAAAATCTCAAAACCCTTAAACATCCCACATGCCTCATTCTTCCAGAAAAAGTATGTTGAACCGGTGGGGTAAAGGAATGGTAGAAGTGGCTGGGCGTGGTGGCTTAGGCCTGTAATCCCAGCACTTTGGGAGGCTGAGGTGGGTGGATCACCAGAGGTCAGGAGTTTGAGACCAGCCTGACCAATATGGTGAAACCCTGTCTCTGCTAAAAATACAAAACAATTAGCCAGGTGTGGT